CCGGCTTCGTCATTAGGTTGCACCATTGAATTTGTCCGAATAAGTTTGAATGTATGGGAATTCGAAACATCAGAACGAAATAGGAGTCATCTCAAAAAGTCTCGAAATTAAATGAAGAACTAATCGGAGAATCTTGCATTTCACTTTGTTTATATTGAGATCTACTGCTGCTGAGGCTACTGCTACACTGGTCGTCTTCTCCTGCATTTGTTGTTGCGTGTGTGATAGAAGAGCCAGATCATCTGCGAATTCTAAATCATCCAGCTGCATTCTAGCTGTCCACTGCGTCCCGTGCTTCCTTCCAGATATTGACGTCTTCATAGTCTAGTCGGTCACCAGGAGAAAGAGAAATTGTGAGAGTAAGCAACCTTGTCTGACACCGGTCTTTAAGAAATAAACAATCTTTTGAGACTGAATTATGGAATCATTAGTCAATTCCATGAGATAATTTCTTATCTTTCTTTGATAAGTGAATCTTATAGGTGTTGATATTATTCTGATCCTACAGCAAATATTGTTAAAGATAATACTAAATCTTTTTATTTCATGAATTAACGTAGATAGTGAACAGCATCAGAGTAAAATTGTGAAAATCTCTTTTTCAAAATGACCTCCTCTCAATCCATCTTCATCACTAACCTATTTTACGTTCCCTTATCTTATTTAACATATTATTATTATTACCATTATCAGAAATTTGATTTTAAAAAACTAAATGTAAGTCAAAATCATTAAATAATCAAAGTTTGAGTATGTTAAGGATTACATCTAATGCTGTGATACAAAACACTACAAAGAAATACCATCATCAACCAGTAATTATCTACAATGAAATAATGAAAGTGAACATAATTATAAAATTTTATAGACTTTGATAAACAAAAGAATACTAAGATTTAAAGAGAATTCATAAATCAAGAAAATATCTCACCATTACAATAGAACATTATGAAATAATAAAATCGTACAATATTATTATGAAATATATTTGTCTATTAAACGAAAGATCTAATTAATGAAACACTGATACCTACAAACTGGTGAACAAAGAAAAGACGGAATCTTTTTATGAGAACCTAAAATAACTAATGCTAAATGGCCACTGTTTGTATTAAAATATTGCAACAATAATGTGGTTCATTTACTATTATCTCCTCTTTATCAGAACTTAGATTAGATATGCTCTCTATTGTTTCTAATACTCTTCCTCAATAGTTTGCTTCTTTCTGCATACTTATTCAGGGCCTTGACTTCCTCTACTCTTTCTTCGTTGTTGGTAACCCCTGTCTTCTTGCTTTTCTATTATTGAATTACACCGAAGATATCTAGAGAGATATGTCCTCTATACTGATGCTTCTTGTGGCCCGTTTTCTTCCGACATTTTGGAGCTACTGCTTCCTCAATTTCATTCCTATTGTTCTCCAAAACAAGTACGTTCCTCTTCTAGTGAATTTAGTTACGCCTGAAACTTGCTACTGTGAGCTATCTTGAATTTTTTTGAGTGTTGGATAATGTTGACGATCTTCTTGGGAACACCATTGTGTCATAGAAGTTTCCATAGCGATCCCGGTCTACACTGTCAAACGCCTACTCATCGTCAATGATGATGGTTTATAGCAGTGACTTCCACTCGACTGATTGCTCCTCGATGATCCGTGGCGGTCTATGCACGACCGATCTTTGCGCAATCCAGCTTGTTGATCTTGAAGTTGGGCGTCTACTGCGTCTTTCATATGGTTCAGCAACACTATGTTGAAAACTTTTCCTGGTGCTGACAACAGTGTGATGCCTCTGTTATTCTCACGTCTGCTCAGATATCCTTTCTTTCGTATCTTGTTGAGGTCTGATTCATTCTAGTCCACTGGCACTTGTTCCTTCTCTGAAATCTTCTTGAATATAAAGTGAAGCATGTATGCGGTTACTTCAATGTCTGACATCGGTGCTTCAACTGGTATATTGTCAGGTCCTGCCGCCTTCCCACTCTTGATTTGTCTGATGTCCATCTTGACTTCTTCGATCGTTGGTGGAGTGACATCTATAGGAATGTCAGTGTGGGCTGCTTCGATGTCCGGTTGATTCAATGGAGTTGACCTATTCAGGAGTTCTTATGAGTATTCTGCCCAACTTTTCCTCTGTTCTTCAATCTCCGTGATTGTCTTTCCTTCTTTTTCCTTGTCTGGTCTCTCCGGTTTGCGTTATCTCCCTGCCAGTTTCTGCACTGTATCACATAATTGTTTCATATTCCCTTCCTCGCAGCTTTTTTCCGCCGTCATTGCAAGTTCTTCCATGCATTTATGCTTGTCGGCTTTAATGCTTTTCTTCCATTGCTTGTTTGTTTCTGCGTACTCTGCTTGTGCCTTGAATTTCTCTGCTCGTGTTCGACTGTTGTTAATTGCTGTGTTTTTGTTCTTCCTTTCTTCAACATTGTCCGGGGTTCACATAGAGATCAATTCCTTATGATGATGCTTCTTAAAACCTAGAACTTCCTGACACGTTGAAGTTAGTGCTTCCTTGACCCCTTTCCAGTTGTCTTCCATCGTAGTTTCTTGTTTTTTCAGTAGATCCTGTAGAGCTTGGAACCTGTTGTTGAGAGTGATCTTGAAGTCGTATAGCTTGTCAGTAACTCGAAGGTAGGCTGTATTGAAACTTTTTGTGGTGCTGTTTTTTCAGTAGTCCAGTATTTCTTTAGCCTCAGTTTCATCTTGGCCACAACCAGCTAGTTGTGATCTGAAGCTATGTCAGCTCGTCTCCGGGTTCTCACATCTTCCATTGTCCTTCGGAATCTTCTATTGATACAAATATGATCTATCTAGTTCTCTGTGGTGTGGTCCAGCGAGATCCACGTAGCTTTGTTTATTTCTTTTTGTAGAAATATTGTGCCACCTAAATGGTTTGAATTATTTTTTCTGGTTAGCGTTTTTTTAGCAAAATTATTGTTTTACAGGATGGGGACGCTAACCCCATGCTCAACCCTCCTCTTTTACACGGACTTGAAACCGGCAGCAACTCTGGAAGAGCTACAGGCGGAGTTAGTTCGTCGGTCAGTATACTGAAAAAAAGAGAAAACAATTTTTAACAATATTTGTAAAAGTAAAAACAGGAGATCTGGAATTCGAAGCGATTGCAAATCAGGTTTCATTGTAAAAGAAGTCGCAATTATTTGTACTTGCAACCTTATTCAAGGTATCTTGATAAATCTTGTGCTGACTTGATGTAAATATCATTCACGATATCGTCATTTTTTAAGAACTAAGAAGTTCCTATCTCATTCAACTAATCCAAGATCTTAATCCAAAGTTTCGATATTTTTCTTGAGAATCAATAGTGGTAAAAACCTCCCAAGCCTTCAGAAATTATTTGAATAATACAAGATTAATTAAGGAATTCAGTCACATCTTCAGTTATCACACATAGCCATCATTTTGTTGTTGTAAAATCCAGACAAAACAGTGAATTGCAAACAGTGAATTGTAAATTCATATCCAAACGTTTTTGTTCATTAGAACAATCAATGTCAGCAGTTCACTAATTACATTTTCTACAAACCAACAATCTTTGTATATATATATATATATATATATATATATATATATATATATATATATATATATATATATATATGAGAATCCAAACCTGATCATAAGAAAAGAATCAACTTACTGAAAACATATCATTTGCATTATCCTTAAAGTAATGCCATATTCGTTTGAAAGCTTTCCATTAGGAAGAATATCGAGATATGGTAGGACATCTTGAAGTTAACAAATATAATTTAATTTGATGTAGTGGCAATCATTTTTGTTCTGAGTTGCTGTCACGGTAAGATAAATTATATATGACATTGAATCTTGATTAAAATTTATCACATTTAACTTTGTTCACAACGAATCTAGATACACAAATTATGTTAATAGTTTGGTATACCATTCTTAATTTTCTGTATCTTTTAACGCAGTCCCTTACACTTGATACATATACAAAAACAATACTGCATATAGCATAGTGCATTGTACTATAATTAGGCATAGTAACCAAATAACTACCATTTTCCACAGTTACTGTAAATATCAACAAAGGCTTAAATGATAGTTTTAAAGATTTCCTAAATAAAGTATGCCAATATATCAAACAAGGATATTGAAATTTGAAGCTTGACCAATGATTAAGCGGACTTTTCATTGGTAATTTATAACATACCTTTCTCAAATTCAAAAACTCTATGGAAACGTATCTATAATGATGAAACTTTAATGTTGATAACTGGTTCATTTAAAGAACTAGACGATTGCATATCATTTAGTTAATCAGTAATTGTTCACTTACATGATTCGAACTTTGAATAAATAAAGATATGTGTGATACATTTAGTAGATAAGCGTATCATTGTATCAGACGTAATAAGACAATATTTTTAGAGTTTATTTCCAATAAACATGAGCTAACTTTGCAACGGTTATAAACTGATGCATTTTAATGAATCCCAAAGACAAGTTTATTTACCTTTTTAATGAAAATATAAACTATTCATGAATAAGCAATCATTATCACATAATTCTAAAGTACCAATGTGTACGTGGAAAGTAATAAGACACACTGGATCTTTTTAAAACGATATCAATCTGAGGTTCACAAATCACGTATAAATATCGCTTTATATTAATTTTTATTCGTAATACATCATCATGGGTATAATTGTGTCATTGTAAAATTCTAGTTGGTAATCGTAGTCATTGTTCATTCCACAGGAAAGCAAAATATATGAGGTACACTATTTAAAATTTGTTCAACTTTCTTTAATTTTACAAATAATTAGAAAAAATTTGATAGTATGGTAAGCGAAGATTGATAGTGGCTAGCAGTGGAATCCAGGATATTTGGTCAATGTGAGAAATCGCAGTGTGATTAACCGTGTTGTGCAATTCAATGTTTATTGATTGTCTCAATAGTATGTAATTTTCATATCATCAGGAATTCTCCATGGTCAACATATACTTCTCTCTATGGTGATAGAGCTTCTCATTGTCTTACTTTGTCTTATTTCAGAATTCGTTGGAACAAATGAAAATGCACGGATTACGGAAACGCCTGACACTGGTAAGTCATTGATTGATGAGACGAAAGATTTTGTAGATTGAATACTGAAAAGAACCATTTGACGATCGAATATTTCCTTTTTAACTCATATACTGATTATACGATCTAATGCTATGTAGATTTTTTTCTTGACCCTCTGCTATATATGTTTATGTTCTCTCATTTAACCAATGGTTTATGCGATTTTGTGAAATGTTTTAAACGAACGAGTGCTGAAATGATGTATTCATTTTTGATTTTATCTTTAGTCCCTGGAAACGCTTTGTTATATCAGTTATTGAACTTTTAACTGTTAGTTGTAATAATTTTAGACACACTCAACACTCCCCACTTAGATTTTATAAAAAGTATGAATTGAAAGACTTGTAATTATCTGAATACTAACGGAATAATCTGGCCAAAATTATTATCTAGTCCATAACTGCCAGTGATTTTCTTGTATGTATTAACCAAAGTCTGTCTGACCTTAATACCACAAGAATGTTTAGTCGATAAAATGAATAGCAAAAAAATCGAAATAATCTATTATTATTGATAGTGAGATAAATACGCATGAAGGTATTCTTTAATTCAAAATGAAAAGGAAGATGAAGAGTGAATGTAGCCTTGACATTGTGGGTGATCCTGAAGCATATCACGTCAATGCATCCAAACTTATGTTTATCAAGAATTTAGAAAGAACCATCCCGGAGTAGTAAATCACCTCACAAGCTATCTTTCTTTGAATACCTTCAATGCCATAATAAACACCAACTGTGTCTATGCTTTCGCTTTGCTGTTGTTCAAATCAACCTTTCTAACGGAGATATTCGAGGATAGTGAGTAAGTCGGTCAAATGAATACGAGCAATGACTAAGGCTGTTGAAAAACAGATCAATGTGAAAGTCATATCTTTAATGAATCAGTCTCATATATTTATATTAACATTCAAATTATGAATCAACTGTCCAAAGTAACTCCATCCCACTTAATCGTTCCGAAACTGTCTGTTTTTTATAATCAGTGGATAATATTATTGCTTACACATATTTCTGTAGCCACAAATATTTTGGAAGAGACTATACAAAACAATACCAATAACTCACATGTCTCGAATTATTGTATTGATTTTTACGAAACTGCATGTGGAGAGTGGAAAAAACTCAATCCTTTGTCAAATGATAATGCTAGTTCAACCACTTATCAAAAGATGGGAATGAACGTTGATAACTACTTCTGGAAGATAATTGGTAAGTCATAGAAAAATAATGTTATGATATAATTTGTGCTGATTTTTATATTTTAAACGTTTCACTTAAGTTTAAATTTCATAGAAAGAGTATTGAATTGTTTAGAGATAACGTTTAAAATTATGTTGCAGGATCCGTGCAAGTAGGCAGACAGCCATGCTTCAACAAAACTAAAGGATCTGTAAACAAACTCAAACAAAATTTCAATCACTCAAGATATAGGTAGTAGCACATCTTGGACAAGTAACTTTTGTTTCGAGGGAGGACCCCCTATCTATTCCCCTTTACTTATTGTGGTACATCAATCAAAATTGATATTGAATTATTCCCTGGAATATCATATAACACTTTCCATACAGTACTTCATAAATTAAAAAATATCAAACTTTCAGATTTCTTTGAGAAACTCAACTTAAAAGTATATTGTGTAATCTTATTCGATAACAGAAATGTTTCTGCTCAACTAATTGTCCACGTAGAAATAATGTCTTTCAGTGTTCATGAAATTATGTTCTAGTTAAAAAGAAGTGATATGTTTGCTTTCGGAGTATGTTGAGCTGAAAGTTCAGATGCTAGGCTACATACTATTCGCCTGTTATCTGCGAATTATATTTATAATCTATTTCAAAATGATGATCTATATGAGATACGAAAACTTTGGATCATGTTAAATAGTAATCGACGTTACTTTGAAGCTATTCAGATGAAGTATACTATTTCGTAAGACTAATACATAATTAATATCAAACCACAATGTTTTAGTTAATTCTATACATCTTTTGTAATCGAAGCTGATTAGGATGCAATGTGATTACTAGTCCAAACGAGGGAACATGGAATTCCTTGAAGTACATCAGTTTTTCAAGGTTGGGTTCAGACAGGCCTTCATTTATACTACTCTATTTGCCTAACATCAGAATTCCATACTCTTTTTTGAGTATCAAATTCACGATAATTTATCGAATGAATTCATTAAGATTACAATCATTTGACTTATACCAAATATATTAAATATCTCATGAATGGTCATAAGAGGATAAAGAGCTCTAGGCATTATTGTTTTATAATAAATTCTTCGTTTGTTTATATCAAATGATCTTTGTTTATTCTTCATAATTTGATGTCAATAATTTACAATACTTCCAAGCAAATGACTCCTACTATAAAGAAGATCGGCGCTTACGATTAGCTCGAGCATTTTACAAATCTTGCGTAAATAGTCGAAATTCAAAAACAACACGTGATAGTCGTCATCATTTGATAGATAAGTATTTTGGCGGATGGGAACTAATACCATCACTTTCGACGAACATAAACAATACAAATAAACAAAAGCAAAATAAAATGAGTAACGGGCTTACCAATCTATTTCTACCAATATTAACTCAAACTGGACGTTCACCATTATTTTCAATAAACATCGCGGACGATATTTTTGCTGTTATTGTAAGCACTTCGACTATATATCCCATATCAAATTTATTTGTATTATATTCAGGGTTTTTGAATCTATTAAAATCATTGGTAGTACACGTTAGAACTTGACGTTGAAAGACTTATATCAAATAAAATTTGGATTGTGAAGAAACGTATTGTGCTCAATTTATAGTAAACTAAAAGTGATTGGCTACTTCTAATTATGACCAATAACCCAAACTAGAGTAAGAAATCCTGATCGAGAAGAAGTGTGTATCGATGAAAATTCGCATGTAATATATGCTATTTAATGAAAACACGATTCTGGTATGATAACTATTGATGAAATGTGCTCATGGAGCGATAGCACTTTAGTGATATATGGCGTCTAGACGAATACACTATGGTGAACAAGAACAACTAGTCTTTAGGTCAATCCAACCCTACAATGAATTTTAGTTGACCCAGTAATATGATTTCGGTGAATTCGTTACGATATTCTACTGCGAATTTTGATAAACTAATAAATAGTTTCCACTGTCACAGCTAGAGATTTTGCGATATACGCACGTGAATAATAAATGTGTTCAAACTTTGATAAATCAAATTCTTTTTTATATAGAGCGACGACTAAATATATGATTTACTATATTACTAAGGAAAAGGATTCTATTGATTTTACATACTGAAAACTAAAATATAACTGGGACGATGGTTTAACCCATTTTGGTTATTCTTATCGGTGACTACTCAAATCATATTCTTGTAACTAAAGCCAAAACACATCATACTACTTTCAATGCTTTTTCTATTGTAGTCTGACCTTTGAAGTAGCGTGTAAACTGGTTAATATGAACAAAAGAGATTTGATATACTGTTCAAATAATCACTAAATATCGACTGTAATCATTTAAGAAAAATTCGGTTTCTGAGGAGTTAAGTATATTGGACAACATATATTAAAGATGGTTCTATCTCGCATTGCGGTACATAATTTGAAGCACTAACAAGTAACATTCACTTGGTATTGTTTACTTCGATCCTCCCATTGGTGTTGAAAACTGCAATTGATCAGTGTGTTATTGACATATGTGCATACTGTGGGTATGTCCTCGATATTGCTTTAAGTCACACGTATTCCAGACAAAGACTGATAGTGGATAATGTCATGGCGTTTGAGACAAACTGTACTGAGTTCAAGTCACAGAGTGAACATCAACTCTGAGATGCAGGTACATCCAACTGACTAGTCCCAAATAAAACGGAATGAGCGTCCTGGATTCCACTGCTAGCCACTATACATCTTTATTAACAAATAACGTATGTAGAATACCAAAATTTAGAGTTTTATACACATCTATAGTAAGTTTGGTTAAATTACTGATGTTGACAAAGTTCAGATTTTTTCATGACCACTCTGTTGCTTAAGAAAATTGACTATGGTCAGTTGTTATTTTTAGTATGATCACTTAAGAATAACACCGTCCCTGTTAGAGGACTCTTCTTTTCGACATTTGTGTTTTAAAACACATACTCCCTTGATGTACTTTCAGTGTCCAGTTAAGATCTAATAATTACTTCTGTATAAAAACTAATGGGTAGCAACGAGTTCCCTACTGGACCCTCTTTCAGTGTATCGCCTCATGGTCAGGCTGACGTATATGATACTTATAAAAAAGATACGCTGATGGTGCGTATATCATCTATAACAAAAATATTATCTCCAATATCATCCTGAAAAATGTCAATAATTATCATCGTCTAATTACATTTACGTTGGAAGCTAAGATGATTTTCGAATTTTGCTCCATTTATTTCCTATTAAAATGTCATCAGACAGTTCATCACTAGGATTCTTACACAATAAATGGAATGATCAATACTTGAATTTTGGAATTCAGTCTTACTGAGCAGTTCTGTCAATAACCTCGACGGTCAGCAGGATATGCGCCAAAGAAACAGTAGAAAGTAAATTATCCTAACTTAGTCAGTCTAGGCTTACATTAGGAACCTGTAATGAGAACTGAAATCTAAAAGACCAACAAATGTTCAAAGAAACTTTGTTCATTAAGACTGAGTTTATCGACAAAAGCTCTGAAAATTTGAGTTACAAAATCATAGGGAAAATCATTTTATCCAACCAGGCTTTGCATCGTCCACAAGCAACTGGTCATTTATGGATATGACAAAAACAGACTGACCCTCTGACACAAGTGATTATGCATTTATAGTTTTACGTGCTCCGATGACGCAGGTTAAATTAGATACACATCTCAAAACTTTATCCTCTGTGGGTTGTCGAAATTAAATCGCAAACAATCAGCAAATATAAACAGAATTAGTCCGTCGGTCCTACTCACATTTTCACACTGGCATGGTCATTCAAAACCATCTATACAGATATGCGGATGGTTTTGCTGAAATCTGCTTAGCAATTAGGTTTCTAAATTACACTTTCTAGTAGTGAATACACGTAATAAATCATTGTAAATCGATGTGTAATTCCATCGGAATATAGTGGAAATATTTCTAGAAAACAAAACTCTCAACTTATCTCAGAAACAAGAAATTATATCAAAATTGCAAATATTTTACATGTATGGTGTCAGTAAAATCAGGTTTCATAGAATTCAGACCGTTTTTACATGTCTTATGCAATATAGATTTTGTTTAATTATCTAACAAACCACTGAAATGAATTTTGTCATTCTAATCTCATCAGATTTCACCTGGTCGATTCGCATTTCATCCAGATTCAACGCAGGTAACTTTTAAGTGACAATTATAATTATTTATGTAGTAGGTAATTCAGTGAAAGTTTCTGATTTCTATCCCATTTCGATATCAATTAAATGTCAGAATATTCTTTAATATTGACACTCAAATGTTTCATTCAGCCGAATGAATAATACCACGTATTTATTTAAATTAGTCCTTGATGTCAAAATTATAGCCTTTGAATGAACTTACGTTCTACGTATCACGGCAGTGAATATAATTTACATGTTTTCGTGATATTACAAAATCAGCTCATCAATATAATTCTCATTCCTGGCATCTAAAGAGAGTTGTCAAATTATGGTAGCTGCTACTCATCAAGCCTCATTTGAACAGTCCGTTTATATCCATTTGCATTATATCATAAATCCGCCTTCAACATAATCTCCAACCCTGTCTTACGAATGTATTTATGAAAGATAACTTGAACGACAGTTTGGAACAGTATTTGATTATTGAAATTACCCTTAGATATTACTTCATAATAATATTTTGAGAAACGATGATCTTATCGATTGAATTGAAGATTATGTAATAAGTACACATGCTTAGTTGTACAGCTGACTTTCTACGCTATTCAGTAATCTTTGTCTTTTTATCAAAAGATATGTTTAATAAACGCTCATGTTATATGAAAAATCAGGGAATACGTTAGCGGACAGAGCATGATGAGAATTTGAATGACGAACTCTATCTGTGTATTTGTGATTACTGACGGAAGAAAACATCATATTGTTAGATCGTATTTGCAATTCCAAAAGGTATTTTAAATATATTAACTAATGTTTATATATGAAGTCAAATTTGAAAAAAAAGACGATAAAATATTACTAGAATATTTTAAAAATACATAAATGAAGTACACTATTACCGGTTCATAGAAAAGGTGAACGTACCCCCGATAATACAAATATTTTGTTCTCGTAAATGTAGATCCTTCCTTTCGTGGTACTTTGTTTTCCTGAGTATTACAAATTTTAAGTGTGAGATGTCAGGCCGTGAACTTATGTGTCATCATTAAAGAAGTTCAGTACTCATAACAACATGACATAAACTAATACATTGTAAAAAAAATTTTCAACCAGAACAATCGACAAACGTTACATCACAATAGAAAAACCCAAAACTGATGGTATATCTTGGAGATATTTGTACGTTTTGAATAACGACCATGATTATCTTGACAACAAGTTCTGTCTTAAATCAAGGCGCATTTCAACGTGTCACGAACTCAGTTCTACAAGTATACTTCAGTATGAGTAAACGACGTTTCATATTTCATTTAACAGACCACTATGATTGAATCCGAAGAGGATTACTACAAGCTTGCATTTGAAACTGGGGTACTTCAGTCTAACAGAACACAACTAAGTGAGGCTTTCCAAACAATGATTCGGTTAGGCAAAGTAAGTTTATTTAAAAGTTTTTCAGTTTCCAAGTCAAAAATAAGATGAGATTGTTTTAGGCTACAAATGGAAACCATTTAGACGTTTATTCACAATGAGTATTCACTAAAGACCTAAATATTAAATATTGAAGACCTAAATATTATACTTTACTCGCAAAAATCTAGGGCCAATAAGTTTGCTTTTCAGGTTTTAACATTGTAACAAAACACCACATCTGTGCACTAACACAAACCAACTTAAGAAATCTTGGAAAATTTCCAGTGTCAAAGCAAAGGAGTTACCAATTGAAAAAATATATCAAATGTATACTTGTTCATGATTACTCAAGACTAGTGCGGTATATTTCATTTCTAAAGTGTTTCTAAGTTGTGAGAGGGCATTCACTATTGTATAAAAGCAGTAGAATTGATCGATTATCTTTGCATAAATTAATATGTTCTACGCACAAATGTTTATATACATTCCACTCATCTATTAAAAAAACTAACTAAATATACAGATAACCATTTAACTGCACTTTATGGTTTTTAACATCACATTAAGTTGTTAACGTTAGTAAATGCATAGGAGAATGTCATGTAGCTATTATGTATCATTGATTCAAGGAAACAGATTAGTGATTTACTGCATTAATAACAACTGGAAAATGTGAATCTAACGTTTGAGCAGATCACCTATTTCTATAGGTTTTATACTATATAAAATTAATTATGGAAAAATCACTCAAAACATTGAGATACATTTGAAAGAAATGTCATCATGACATACATACCTGAATAGAAATATCTATTACACGCTGTTCAACCCGAAAATCTCCATTCGATTCTGTAAATTCAAGTACAAGATCATTATTAGTGGTTAGATTTCGTCGGTATGATCAGTGAAATAAGTCCCTTAAAAAGCCATCAACATATTTACATATGTTTACCAAATGAAGGATTTCATAGTAGTTAGTCATAAAGAAATATCAATCACTTAACGTCATCAAGTTTCAGAAGATTTTCTTGAGAATTGACCGTTTAAAGTAGTTGTTTAAAAAACCATCAATCCTGAAATATCGAAAAAGGATGATTAACGTAATAATAAATAATCCTCACATCGTATAACTGGAGTGTGCGGTTGTCACAACATGACAGTAAATGATTTTCACGCGAGTCTCCTTTCGTCATATACAATTGAAATTAAAATACAACTGCATTTTGATTCCTGTTATGTTTTACTTTCAATTTTCAAAAGAGGCCAGTCTCAAAGACAACAAACGTGAGAGAGTTTATTACGAAAAATGAACTACAATACACCTGCCCACAGGTACGTTTTGTCATATGACTTGCGCAACTATATGCTTTTTCAATATAAAGCAGTGTAACTAAGATTCTTGAAAAATATTGAAGTTGATAAGTAGCAATGAATGCGAGAAAATGTAGGTTACTTGTCACGGATTAGTGAGTTATTATTTACAGTGAACGGATGAAAATCAGTATTCGAAGTAATTATTTTATACTTGTAAGTTAAGTTTTCTAGGAATCTATATTTATTTGGAATTTCAGTAATCAGTATTATATTACTGAACTGTTTTACCTAGCAATACACAGTTGGTCATCTCTATGTGAACGACTAGTACATGTGACGTTAAAGGCATTGAAAATGTCACTCCTTTCCATCTCAAGCTTATTGTACCTTATTTTACTTTTGTAGATTGATTGGAATCACGTACTTGAAAAGGTGTTACAACAAACTGGATATGTAAAGTATCAGAAACTACCAATCGTTGTAGAACAGCGATCTGAACTCCGCCACCGTTGCTCAGAATACCGTGCTTTATTGAAGAAAAGAGATAGTGGAAGGTAAAGCACAATTTTTTTCTTTATGGTGAACAAGAAATACAGAATTTCAAAGTCTATAGCTTTATAAAAATGTGCACTTACGTCTCCCGACAGCTAACTACATTAGTGTAAAGGATCATTGGAGATATGATGTACATTATCTTCTTAGGATCGTTCGGAACTCATAACGTTTAAATTATTCAATTTTATCTTTGTGAAAATTTGTATAATTCCTAAGTCTACAAATGTTTTAATTATTTTCTTCGGATTACATAGATTAAACACTTTTTAGTGGTTGTATTTCGGACTTGCATGTCATTTTTGAAGTTGAATTCATGAGTCAATTGAAGCTAAAGCACCATGAAAAACCTGAAAGAACTGGACCGTCGTTTCGTCCTAGTGCGTAGCTTCTCAGCAGTACGCATCCACGATCCCACCCCATGAATTATCGGTCTCGCGCGCCAGCGCTTAACCCCTAGACCAATAAATCGACGGGCATCCAACGGTTTTAATATCTAACTTCAACTAATCCAAGAAGTTGAGCAACCGTTCTCCATTGTCTTTAGTGAGTTACTTTCGCACAGCAGACTCGGTCGTATGTAGTTCTAGAGATTTACAAGTAATAAGAATAAACCCTACATCAGTTGTTCGAGTTTAGGACCATTTGTCAGTGTTATTTATAAATTAGATATGTTGTTATACCGATGCTTTTTATTATTACTACCATTATCGTAGCTTTATTGAACAGTTTTGTTGACCTAATTTTTCCTTTTCATTAGTATACTGCGCACAATAGCTATTATGGATTTTTTACGAGAACAACAAATGAATACTCTGAACGTCCATGCATTTGGAACGGATCATAACTTGAATTCATGTTAGTAATATATTCAACAATGTATTTATTTAACTAATACTCAAAGCAAAAAAATAAAATTTATTTGTAGTTAATAACTAAAACGTATGGCATGGTAAGGTCATGAAATTTTTCGACTACACACAAATATATCAATTCAGATGTAGGTCTACTCGTTCTCATTATATTGCATCCCGTTTTGAAGAAGCATATTTCGATGATAATTGGACTCAAGGGAAAATTCCAGTAAAAAAAATCATGAGACGTAACAGACACTCCTGATGACTGACATATATTCATTTCCAAACTGTTAAATCTAGAATGTTATTTGGCAATAATCTACTGATATAATTACTGGTTACTGTGAAATGTCCATCTTAAAGTCAATGATGAGATTGTGAATCACCTATCTAGGTGACATTGAATTTCTAACCACGTTTCCACGTGTGATTCAAGGATTTTATTGCATTGAATTGTGTATAAGAAGAACTGGAATAACTACATTACATATCACTTATTGATCCTAAAAGATATACTAGTGAACATTGATATCCGTTTGGTAATGTATATATCAAGCATCACGATAATGCATAATTATACTTCTGAACATGTAACTGTATAGTAAGTGGAAGTTTGGTGAGAACTGAATTGAAAACTGCTTTTCCAGTCTCACGCTGAACGACTAGACAATTAACAAACTTATTCATGTTTCAGTTCTTTTATAATTATGTACATTTTTTCATCTCAGAAAAAGATGTATATCCTTAGGGAAAACACAGCAAGTCATAACTATCGTTACAATGCTTGGAAAATGAAAATACTGAGCTTAATATTTTATACACTGTGATTTGAAGGTAATTTTAACAATATATCGGAGTGAGAACAAGGAGATAGGTAGATCGATAGAGATTAAATTTTGTATGACAATGGTGTTCATGACTAAAAACGTCCCGACCAGTGTTGATGTGTTGAAAATTTATATACTGATGAAGAATGATATTCTTAATTATATGACTATACGTCAGAAGTGATGTCGAAACTATTGAGCACATAAATAAAGATGATGTCAAGCATTTGATAATCACTGAGTACTGGTATCACTAAATATACTAATAACCAGTATAAAAATGTTGTCCGTCAGTAGAAACCATATAAATAAACAAGGTGGTAGTTACCAATCGAAATAAATTTTCCTATGCCATACTGCCTGCATAATTGAACAGAAGAAAAATTCATATATGAATGCGGTATGCTCAGAAAATCTCATCAACATAACACATCATGATTGAAGTAATATAGATTTATTCATCATCGTCATTTTCAGTCAACTCCGCCTGCATCTCCTCCGGGGGCTACTGCCGGTCCCAAGACCGGATAAAGAAAGAGGGTTGGGCTTGGGGTTAGCGACCCTATCCCGTAGAAAACCAACTCGCTAAAAAACGCTAACCAGAAAAAAATTATTCAACCCACTTAAACTCTGCCCTGGCACATGAAGGAATAATTATGACGTCTCATGGTGAAAGCCGAGTTCGGAAGTAATGAGACCGATGCACCTTCTAGAAACCAGAGCGACAATTTGTATCGGTACATGGTACGTCTGGACAATATGGGAGACCAGAAGAGTCTTCCAAATTGCTGCAGAAATGTGGAAATACAAACTGGAGGTGCTTGGAATCAGTGAAATACATTAGACGCAGGTTGGACAACAACGACTGTCTTCCGGGGAGTTTTTGTTATACTCCGTTCACGAAGAAGAAAATGCTTCACATACACAAGGAGTGGCATTGATGCTGTCCAAACGACCACAAAATGCACCTATAGGATGGGAATATCATGGACCAAGAATCATCAAAGCCTCCTTCAAAACAAAGAGAGAGGCATTACAATGAATGTCAACCAGTGCGCCTACCAATGACTACGATGAAGACGCTAAAGACCAATTCTACGATAGGCTGCAGTCGATCATCGAGAAGTGCCCAACCAAGGACCTGACAATTCTGATGGGAGATCTCAATGCTGAGGTTGGAATGGACAACACTGGATACGAAGACGTCATGGGACAACATGGACTGGGAGAAAGGAACGAAAATGGTGAGAGATTTGCAAACCTATGTGCCTTCAATAAACTGGTCATAGGTGGCACCATATTCCCACACAAAAACATACACAAAGCCACTTGGACTTCACCGGATCACACTACACAAAATCAAATCGACCGTATCTACATCAACAAAAAGTTCAGGAGGACGATGGAGGATGTGAGAACCAGAAGAAGAGCTGATATAGCATCACATCATCATTTGCTGGTCGCCAAGATGAAACTAAAACTCAAGAAGCACTGGACAACGGCGCGGACAACATCACAAAAGTTTAATAAGGTTTTTCTTCGAAATGCTGACAAACTCAACAAATTCAATATAGCACTCAGCAACAGGTTCTAGGCCTTTCATGATCTACTCAATGGAGAGGGAACTACCATAGAGAACAACTGGAAAGGTATCAAGGAGACAATCGCTTCAAAATGTCAATAGGGTTTAGGCTACAAGAAGCACCACCACAAAGAATGGATCACTGTTGCTACACTGGATAAGATTGAAGAAAGGAGAAACAAGAAGGCAGCAATCAACATCAGCCGAACAAGAGAAGAAAAAGCCAACGCACAAGCCCAATACACAGAAGCAAACAAGCAGGTGAAGAAGAGCATCACAGCCAACAAACGTAAATATGTAGAAAACCTAGCGATGACAGCAGAAACTGCTGCAAGAGAAGGAAACGTGAGACAATTGTATGATACAAGAAAGAAAGTTGATGGAAATTACCGTTAACTAGAAAGACCACTGAAAAGCAAGGAAGGCAAAGTAATCACCAACCTTGAAGAACAACAGAACAGGTGGGTAAAACATTTCAAAGAACTCTTGAATCGACAGGCTCTACTGAACCCATCCAACATCGAAGCAGCACCGACCGACCTCCCAATCGATGTTGGCCCACTAACAATTGAAGAGATCAGCATGGCCATCCCACAAATCAAGAGCGGCAAAGCAGCGTTACCAGACAACATCCTTGCAGAGGCACTGTAAGCAGATGCAGCAGTGACTGCAAAGATACTCCACGTCCTCTTCAGTAGGATTTGGGATGAAGAACAAGTACTAGCTGACTGCAAAGAAGGACTTCTGATCAAGATACCAAAGAAAGGCGATCTCAGCAAGTATGATAACTACAAGGGCATCACTCTTCTCTCAGTACCAGGAAAAGTCTTCAACAGGGTATTTTTAAACAGTATGAAGGATGCCCAACTTCGAGATCAGCGGGCTGAATTTCGTAAGGATCGATCATGCAACTCTACGGATCATTGTGGAACAATCAATCAAATGGAACTCACCACCCTACATCAAGTTTATTGACTACGAGAAAGCATTTGATAGCGTGGACAGGACAACACTATGGAGGCTTCTTCGACACTACGGTGTACCTGAAAAGAAGGTCAGAAAAACAAAAATTGTATAGAGCGAGAAAGGAAGGCCCAGGACAGAGTAGGTTGGAGAATGGTGGTTGGCGGGCTAGGCACCATTGGGAGTAACAAGCGTGAGTAAGTAAGTCATATTAAGTCATATCGATAGAGATGGAGCGACCTAGAATAGTAACTATCTACAGTATGCATCGAAGTACGTCTCCACATTCGAAGTAATGGGCGTAAACAGCTTCTCAGTTAAACATTATTTTCAGTATATTCTTGGTCATCTTCACGTTGAAGCAAGTATATGAATGATTGAGCACACAAGTGGTCATGGGTACTAGACATGCAAACACTGGATCGATACAATAGAGTATCATGTGTTTCATGGGGAGTTTCAACATGAAATTTATATTTGCTCACATACTCACTGATTCAGTTCTTTCCTTATATAAATTCATTTGATCCTGCCACAACGTAACATTATTTCACATTATTTAAAATAGCTTCACAGCCACATTTTGATGAGCAATGTATAACTCGGTTGAAGGATGGTTTCCCATGGACGCTTGAAAGACACTATATCCGTTCGCATGTAAACGAAACACACAAAACAGAGGTTAGTTCATACCATATTTTACTTATTTACAATGTATGTACAGTACACCCTCTCAACAATAATATGAAGCCGTTAGATGATGAAATGAGACAATTCAAATACAATGCTAGAAGTATATTATTCCTCCATTAAGTAAGTCCTCATAATCCCAACAACCTACAATACAACTATCGAATTCGAACGAAACCTACTCATTTCAGGTGGATGACACATCTGAGTTACATGAAAATATCATAGGTTACTCTGTTACGAAATTCGGGAAACGTTTATAAATGGTGACCCCAATTAATTCTTATGTCATCTTTCTGTATACAGTCTGTTAACTTCATAGATCATAGTATAGCAGTTCTAGTAAACTCAATCCGATCACCGATTCTATCAGGTTTTATTGAACCACTGACATTACAAATCAACACATTTTACTCCAATTAAGTATATACCGGATATATTTAACAGAAATTTGTTTCAAAGTAAATTATGCTTTGGTGATAGACAATTTGCTGCGGTCGAATTTGAATGGAGCGTAGATGATTGTTCAGAAGTGTCTGTTGAGGTTCTTTGAGCAAGTAGTCTAAATTAACATTAATTTACTGGAATATTGTCAGAAACACCTATGTACTCAACAGTCAAACACATTTTCATACTTGCGCCATCACCAATACACCTGTCCCTCAAAAGTTGTGAAATTATTCTTTCCAATTCCGACATAAATTCGTACACGAATTACATCAAATGGTCAATATCAATCCAATATCAACCTGGTTTCGATTACACAATGGACTTGAACCATTTCTTACAGTTTCGACGAAAACTTAATGATTATTATTCAAATGATTTTCAGAATCCCTAACAACTTACCTAACAACTGAAAATATGTTTATTAGCCAGATATCGTGCTTTCTCACCAAATCCATTTAAAACACAGATTTGTAAATCCATCGAAATGATCTTAT